CGCGCAGTAGACTTAGGAATGAATCAGTCATTACCGATTACTTGTCTCTAAAGTCTTGAAATCTTACTCGTTTTCAAATAGGACTTTAAGAATTTAGATCACCTAGCATGCCAGACGAACTGTGCGGTACTGCATTCATTGAACAACGTACAATGGTGTCTAGGACAAAATAAGTGTCAGATACCTGCCTACTAATTTTGAACTCAATAAGTCGACTTCGAACTGAGTTTAAGAAGTCTTGTTTACTTAAAATAATTGACGAAATAAGTCATATTGTTCCAAGTTGATCCACTAATGACGATATTTCGTCAACTTAATCGAAGAAATATCGTCCTTCCACTGCCACTTATTTTGTCCACCGCGAGGCCGCTTGAGCTGTTGATTTGTTGTTATTGCCTATGGCCGACGACTTATTATAATACATGACTGAGAATTGAATCCCCACAGAATTTCTCAATGTCAAGTGCAAGTCATGCTCCCCACAGGGCTGCGCAGGGTCCTTACCCCACCAAATCAGAAATCAGGTTTCTTCAATGCAACAAATGTAAACGCGACAACACCTTCAATTTGCATGTCAGATATTATGTATTTCTTAAGCCCGAACTGTTTTCAACCAATTCACGACGATCCCAATTCTTAGAGGCACGCGACTGGTCTGCGATGGAAGTAGTCATCCGGCGGTGCTGGGTGTCTGGAGTTACTAATCAATCGACATGGGCTAAACCTTAAGCTGCTGACGGGAGAGGGGAGAGTGTGAAAGATTTCCCATTTTCGACCCTTCGATATCGGGTCTCCTAACAAAGAGGGGCGTGAGTCAATTCTCTATCAGCAGGGTACAGCTTCACCCTGTCGCTTTTCGCCTCTTCTCCTGTTTCGTTAAACTTCGAGAATATAATGTTCTTGCTCGCCGCGTAGCTTGTGCTGTATATTGAGGGGAACTGGATTCCGGTAGAGCCGCGTTCAAGATGCCTCTCAGATCTGCTGCGGCGCGGGAGCGCGAGGTTTACCGGTATGATTAGAAAAAGGCTGTTCCACTGCTGCTTTCAATACTGACTGTTGCTTTGCAGGTACTACCAGCCAGATGAAGAGAAAGCAAAGATCAACCCCGACGGGTCTCGGGTCCCTCAAGCGTCGAGCGATCCGATATTGACTGCATTTGCGCAACTGGGTGCGCTCCGAATGAATACGAAACGAGGGATCATCACGTTGTCGACCTCGACCGCGGAGTTCATGCTCGCCGAGTCGGGGAAGGCGCTTAGCTTGCAGAAGGACGACGATGAGCACGATCAGTTATGGCACGGTGTGGGGGTGTTCAACAAGTGTCCAGATCAGTCAAAAAAGCCATCGGGTCAGTGCTGGTTGATCACTTCTGCGTGGAAGATAGGAAAGCTATGGTTATCAACGACCTTACGAAACACGAGGAACTGAAGACGCAATGGGTCGTGCTGAACAAGCCGTTTGTCCGCTTCATCGCCGCCGTTCCGCTGCGTAGTCCGGGCAGTGGGATGGTCATTGGAAGCTACCTGGTGGCTGATGATCAGGTACGCGAAGGAGGGTTGACGGAGTGCGAGATGGAGTTCATGTTAGATATGGGAGCTACTGTCATGGATTACCTCGAGGCCGGGTTGATCAAAAAGAAGCAATATCGATCGGAGAGAATGATCAAAGCTGTGAGCTTGTTTATTGAAGGGAAATCATCAATAAGAGATTGGTGGTTGGAAAGAGGACATAGGTTACAGCAACCTTCTGTCATGCAGCGGACAAGATCAGCCATCGAGCTTGACAAATTGGCTGACGCCGAATTTGGCATACAAGAGCCTGCCAGCAATCTCTCGAGAGGCTTGAGTAATTTGCAAGATGAGGGTCACGGTGGCAGTCTTGCAAGAGCTCTTGGAAATTGGCATGACGATGAATTGAGCTCAATGCCCCAGACCCCCTCTTCTGTTTCAGGGATGTCGGTCGGAAAAGCAGATTCAACAACCGGCAGACCGGCATTTCCAAGAGCTGAGAGTCATATGTCCTCTGATAGCGCTACACAGTCTACCCTGGTATCCAAGTCCTATATAGACCGCAACAGCTCCGTTACCACCATGGACACACTAGTTGACCCAGGTGGTGAAGGAAAGGACAACCGCGCTTCTGTTTCTTTTGATCTACCTCCGGTACAACTCAACGGTGACAGCTCTCTCCCAAAAGGAAGCCATCTCCCAAAAGAATTACAGGACGCGTTGCTTTCTACTGAACTACGTGCTGTCTTCTCACGTGCCAGCAATTTGATCAGAGAGGCTATAGGTGTTCAAGGTGTTGTATTCTACGACGCCAGCGTAGGATCCGTTGGTGTTGGTTCTGAGCACATCGTTATTGGCGAGAAGGCGCCAGGGCCCTTCCAAACGGAGCATGCACCCACGAGCAGTGAGGACGAAGCCGGTAGACGCTTGTCTGTAGCCCACGCTGATGTGAATGGCCACTCTGATTCTGCGATGCCGTCAGATCGTGAGCCGGAAAAGTCATGCCATGTTTTAGGTTTCAGTACTCGGAAGCGGTCGAGTCTTCGTGGGCACAGAGCCTCTGACGAATGTGGCACTCTCCCTGAGAATATCATGAGAAGACTGCTGAAGCGCTATCCCCACGGCAAGATATTTAACTTTGGTCCAGACGGCACGTACTGCTCCAGCGATTCGGATAATTGCACAACGCCAGGCATAGATCCCACGGCAGCCCATGGTAGAAAGGCAATTAATGATGAAGCACAGTCATCACGAAAGAAGTATTCAAAGGAGTCGGAGGCAAAAGCTATTCTCAAATGTTTACCAGGAGCAAGAAGCGTGTTTTGGTTTCCCCTGTGGGACCAGACGAGAGAACGGTGGTTTTCCGGTTGTCTGATTTGGTCGAACTCTCCGACGAGGGTTATGTGTCCAACAGAAGATTTGACCTATCTAGCCGCATTCGGCAACAGCACTATGGCAGAGGTAGCTCGGATTTCCGCTCAGGTGTTGGACAAGATGAAGTCAGACTTCATTTCCAGTATCTCACACGAGCTGCGGTCTCCGCTTCATGGCGTTCTAGCAAGTGTTGAATTCTTGCAAGAGACTGAAATGACGGATATTCAAGAGGATATGGTTAACAATATCCATGCGTCCGGGAAGGTACTCTTAGACACCATCAATCATGTTCTCGACTTCTCCAAGGTCAATAGACGGTCCAAAAATAACACCTCGCTTTCGAAGAGTGCCAGACGACGGAAGAAGAAGGGTATTGTTGAGAAAGCAACTGTAGAGGAGGAGGAAGATCAGACAGATATACTCAAATTAACCGAAGAAGTCATCGAGAGCATATACGCAGGTCACAGCGTAGGGAAACCGGTGTTGAGTCCGAATTCACATCGCAGCTCATTCATAGCTACCAAAGAGTATGCTGTTAACGTTGTGACTGACATCAAATGGGAACCGAACTGGACCTTTGAGATAGATCCCGGCGCGTGGAGTCGAATTTTGATGAACATCTTCAGTAACGCATTGAAATACACCAAAAGCGGCTTCGTCAAGGTGTCACTGGAGCTTGAAGATGAGGGTGTTGCAAGAAGCAAGAAGTCAAGGAAAACCATGGTCCTGAAGGTCAGAGATTCGGGTAAAGGTATCTCTGAAGAGTTCTTGAAATACAGGCTATTCAAACCCTTTACTCAGGAAGACTCCTTAGCTACAGGAACTGGCTTGGGTCTGAGCATTGTTCGGCACATCATTCAAGATTTAGGCGGTACCATTAACTTCACTAGTGAACAAGGTACTGGCACAGAAGTTACTGTCCGACTGCCCTTACGGGCACAGAAACCGGCGGCAATTTCTCCCGAAGACGAAATGCTTCTAGAGGTTAGAAACATCACAAAGGGCTACACTTTCCGCCTTGAAGGTTTCGACAGATATCCCGATATCGCAGAAGCACCAACTGGAATTCTCTCAGCAGAGGCAGAAGCTGCGATGTTGCTCAAATCGGCAGGTCAAAGCAAGCTCGTTGATTGGTTCTGTATGGAACCATCGCAGCCTACTGATGAATATGGAGCCGATATCATCGTTATCATGGAAGCTGGTGTACCTCCAAATGGTGTGGAGGAAATTCTCAATGCTTACGACCACTCGAAGCCTTCCAAATCGGGCAAAGCCATTGCCATAGTCATGTGCAGTGGCTATAGACCTACTCCCAAGATGCTCAACTGTGGTAGATTTCAGATCTTCTATTTGCATCAGCCGCAAGTATCGTCCTATTCGCTGTTGGGGCCATTGCTAATGTCATGCAGATACGGTCCACATAAATGTGCGAAGGTGCTACATAGCGCCTTCTGCGAGAAAAAGCCTTCCATCATTCCCGAATCCGCATCACAGAGGCGAACATCAAATTCGGAAACACCAGGACTCGCCGGTACAGGCAACTTTCATATCGCATCTGAACCCGCGAGCGAGTCGCAGAAGACAAATGGCGCAGCACCGAAGCTTGCATCTACCATCAATTATGACCCACCTGAAAAGAAGCATATCGACTTGCCCAATGGGACTGACAAGAAAGATTTTGGGCCGGATATAACAGACCTACTATCTCCCAAAGCCCACGTATTTCCCGCGAAACAGAAAAAACTCGAACCTGTAAGAGAGCTCAATCCTCCTGGCCCGAATGAAAAACAAATGCGTGTTCTTCTCGTGGAAGATAACGAGATCAACCTGAAGCTTCTCGTCGCCACTATGCGCAAGCTGAAAATTATCCACACAACAGCCATGAATGGACTTGAAGCCCTAAATGCTTATAAGGACTGCCGCGGTCAATTTGACGTCGTCTTCATGGATATCAGCATGCCAGTAATGAGTGGAATCGATAGTGCACGGTACATTAGGCGATTTGAGAGAGACGAGAAATTGGCAGCGACAAAGTTGATAGCGCTTACTGGTGCGGCAAATCCGACTACGAGACAGGAAGCGTTCAACGTTGGCGTCGATTTGTACCTGACCAAGCCTGTGCCAATGAGGGAGTTAAGAAGCATGCTGGAGGAGATCAAGAAAGAGAGTGCTTTTGACGTTGAGGTTAAGTAGTGAGGTGTTTTACGATACTTGATCTGTCTAGTACATAAGAGGGCTGCTTGTGTGAATATATGGAGCCATGCTTCATGACGTATGAGTGGACAAAACGAACCGGCGTCAAAATATTTGGCCAATTTTACTTGGAGTTTTAGCTCGGGTGTTCCGGAAAGAGGTGCGTGGATGAGCGAGATTACAAATTGGATGAATTTGAAGTACATAATCGGCGTTGCTTGTTTATTCTAGGAGGCTCAATTTGGAAAAATAACCATCTTGGATTGTCGGTTTTTGTTAGGGGTTCTGGAGTTTTAAGAAGGATTGGTGGGTGCTACCAGTTCCAGAAATAAGGAGCGGGTTGTTTGGGTGTTTAGGATAAAGATACATAATAAAAATGTCTTAAAATCTCCAATCTTCTGTTCATGAGCTGAATCACAAAGTCGAGTGCTTCAAACAGTCAGCAAACATGACCTGAGTCCCATAAGTTTATTGAAGCTTGCTATATTTTGTTGCATACCGCAAAAATACTGACATTGAAACCAAATGTCTTGTACAATTTAAGTAATCTTCATTTCTTGTTACAATTTATCTCGTAAATCGACATGTAAATGCAGTGTCCTATGAGACTTGAGTAAAAGAGCCCCTTCTTTCTTTTGTTTTATCACCCTGACAGTCGACTCTTCGCTTTATTTGATTGTTAAATTCCTCTTTTCCATATTATATAAGAAAGTAGTAGAACGACACTATTAGGAGTCGGACAGATAAGATAAGCTTTATACGCCTTAAAATTGTTAATAGTTGAATATATATAGTTTTCTAAAATATGTTATATATTGAAATTAACAAACAGAACATGTAATATTGGTTACTTAATAGAAAAGACGTTAGTTTTGACTGCTAATTATACATGCTGTGCTGTCCACCACAACCGCACGATCAATTTTCCGAGCCTCGGCCTCGGAAGCCATCGGGACGGATCGGAGTCCCTTGCGTAGTGTCACTTGTGAGCAGTTTCACCACAACGCTTCCACTTCCTGCAGCTGTAACCATCTTCCGTACAACTTCGTCGTTCGCCAATTGCACATCCTCTGAATTCAACAAACAACATATTGCACATCCGCTGCCAAAGGTAGGTCGAGATGAACATAACTCAACATGACTGCAATGGCCCTTCTCTGCCAAGAGCCTACAGGCCTGGACTGCGATTTATCCAATCAGGAACTACAAAGCCGCTCGTGGATTGCGCGTCCAGCGAGCGAGCATAGCTTCATTTTGCCTCTCACCCTCGCCGTCAACAGCTAACACAGTCTGTTACACTTACCTGAGTAGCGGGCTGTATCTTTCCTAGCTTCTGTTGCGCAAGAGTTGTCAATACGAGTTCTTCATCGCATCATCTCCTCTCAATTCTTTTCCTTTATCCTGTCCCACGAATTGCTCACCGCAATTCACCCTTTCCATCATGGCACACAGTATCGACCTGTCTAACAGCATCACAATGCATCCTCACCCTTTCCATCTTCATCCAAATCGCACGGAGCATTCACGGTCTGGGAACCACACGCCAATCCCCTCCCAGTCGTCTGCGAAACCTGCTGCGACCACAGCTTTCGAAGCTGTCACTCCAGGAAATGAGGTCCACGATCCGATCGCGAGACACCCGACTTCCATGAGCATGAACGATTTAGAAGACCAAAGACCTCCTCGATATACCCGCGAAAACGACCCATATCAGCTTGCCTCCGCATTCAAGAATGAAGACGATCTACGCTTGATCACAGCAAATACTTCTCGAAAACGCGATGGCTGTGGTCCCATCAAGTTCAACCAAGGCGCCAGTAAAGCCCATGAGATCAAGAAATTCTACGAGAATCAGAATGAGAACATCGAACGTATGCTTAAACCGGTCGAGGATCACGTCGAGCAAGCAAAGCAAGAAGCAGGTGATGATAAATTGAAGTTTCAAATCGCTTTCTATGGATCATTCGGTGCCAGTATCGTGTTGGCGGGACTCCAGCTGTACGGTGCCATCTCCTCCGGCTCTCTTTCGCTTTTCACAACCATGGCCGACGCAATTTTTGATCCTATGTCCAACGTTACACTTATCATGACCAACCGCGCGATCAAACGGGTAGATCCGAACCGTTTCCCATCAGGAAAGGCACGCCTCGAGACCGTGGGAAATATCGTCTTTTGCTTCTTGATGACGACTGTGTCGTTCATTTTGATTGCCTTCTCCGTAAAGGATCTCATAGATGGAAACCATGGTGAGGTCAAGAATTTCCACTATCCCTCAGTCATTGCAGTCGGTGCTGCATTTGTCACGAAATTGGGACTGTTTCTATACTGCTGGGCTCTCAAGGACAAATACTCTCAAATCAACATTCTGTGGCAGGATCATCGCAATGATCTCTTCATCAACGGTTTTGGTATCCTGACGTCTGTTGGTGGTTCCAAGTTGAAATGGTGGCTCGATCCAATGGGAGCCATTGTTCTTTCTCTTTGGATCTCCCGAAATTGGTTGTCTACCGCCTTTTCCGAATTCCTCCTCTTGGTTGGAGTCACAGCCGGTGTTGAAATCCAACAATTGATCACCTACGTCTGCTTGACCCACAGCCCCGACATCGAAGGCATTGACACCGTTCGTGTTTATCACAGTGGGCCTCGATTGATTGCTGAAGTAGATGTGGTCATGAACCCAGGTCGATCATTAAGAGAGACCCATGATGTTGCTGAAGAGTTGCAGATTAAGCTCGAGTCATTGCCCGACGTGGAGAGAGCCTATGTGCATGTTGATTATGAGACGACTCACAAGCCCGAGCATGCTTATAAGAAGGATATTTGATGAGATGTCGAGCTGTTCAAGCGGATATTGAGATTTTAATGACTTTACGAATGTTAGATATTGGGAGCAATTCGTTGATGGATTTCAACGCGTACATATTTATTCTACATACTCTATTTACAGTAATAAAAGCGAACATTTTAATGAATGGGGGTATCTCTAGGTATCTTCTGTACAAACTGTTCTGTTGGATCTCCTATTTCTGCCGAGTGGCTCTCTTCGCCTCCTATTCGACTGCGGTGGGTTTGATCATTGAACCTCATTCTATATACCTTCTTGTGTGGTCTTCTTGTACGAAGTATTCGTATCAATCTTCTGCTTATCGGCTTTGCAATTTCTGCATGGCCTCGTGGCGGATGGGTAGGTTGTAGAACAACCCATCATGGTCCTCAACTCTCAAGTTCAAGTGTATGCTTCAGCACTTGAATGTGAACCACTGAGCCCAGGTACAACCAGGGTCCATTATTGCCTCTTTCACACTTCGTAGCGTTAGCAAGGACCTGTGAGCATTTGCAGGAGAGAAAACTTACATGTAAGTCTCGAAATCCACTCCCCTCCTCTTCCCAATTCTTCCTCCTTCAACATGTTCCCACCTCTCAGCTTTAGGACTAACTTCCGCCCAGGCAACAAGCATCTTTCTCCAATAACAAGCTTGAGCCGCGGGCGTCAAAGCTCTATCCCTAAACGCATCCACGCCATTCTGCGCAATCATCTTCGCTTTCTCGGGATTCGCTAAAAGTTCCTCCATCACAGTCTCAAGATCCGAGTAATCCTCCTCGATCTCTACGAAATTCTGCAACGGACCAGACGACACAATAAGCGCATGTTGCGGTTCGATCCAGATCCGTTTGGGGATAATCACAACCGAATTACAGTTCTGCAAGTACTTTCCACGTCCCGAGTACGACCATCCTAATCACGCGTTAGCTACCAATTCCCAAGGAAACTTTCAACAGAACTTACCTTCCGTCTGAATCACAAATTGATACAAGCAATGCTCCGGTACAGTAATCGTGCTATCCGCATCATACCCCGTCACATGTCTCGCATCCCTCCACTGGATATCCCTCACATCCGCCCATTCCTTCCCCTCGGCCTCTGCAATCAACTTCACACGATTCACATTATTCTTCCTATCACCCCGCCACACCACCTTGGGTATTTTCTCCTCAAAGGGCTTCTCCAGTTCTGCTATCTGCGCCCGCATCTCCTCGTAGCCGCCCATCAACGCCCGTGACCACGCCCAGTACCCGAAATCGCTCATGACCCATTTTTCAGGCTCGGTGGCGAGACGGGTGAGCGCCCAGATGGGTCGGGGTGAGGGGGCGAGGATGTCGTTTACGGAGAAGGAGAATTCGCTGTTGGGGATGGGGACGGGGGAGGTGAGGAGGGCGCGGTGGATGGCGTTGAGAGTTGCGAGGGCGCGCATGCGTGGGTGGTCGCCGAGTGAGATGTGGGCTTCTATTATGTACAGCTATGGAAGTGTTAGTATGTGTATTCGAGGAATGGAGATGTTGTGGATTTGGCTCGCGGAGGACAAAACAAGTGGCAGTCGAACCAGAATAGTTCTTCAACTAAGTTGACGAAATATCGTGATTTAGTGGATCGACTTGGAACATTATAACTATCGGAAAGGTGACTGCCACTCATTTTGTCCTCCGCGAGGTTGCGTGCTGAGGAACTTGGATGTGTTAAGAGGTGTTACCTGTTGATCTAAAATCATAGCCCGCACCATCCCACCAGTCGCGACGTCCTTTTCAGATGAGATGTCAATCTCCTCCACCCTCACCTGTCCTATCGTCTTCCTATATCTCACCGCTCTCTCAATCTCAGTAAACAGCCCTCGGAACGCAGTTGTGCATTGTTCCTCACTCAGCCCAAAGTTCTTGGAATCCCGCGTGCTGTTGAACGCCCACTTTCCTACTACGGGTGGCGAGGTAGACGGTGTCTCATTATGCGGATAATCTATCGGAATAAGAGGTGTATGAGGTGGTTGTGTCGGTGGTGGAGTTGTATGGATAGGCTGAATGGTCACTTCATCGTCTACAAGTCTTCCACTACCGAAATCGAAGGTCCGCGAATGGAAGAGGAGGATCGTGTAGATGAAGGCGTTTAGGACGAAGATGACGATCAAAACTCGGGGGTTCCAGAATTTGGAGGTTGGAAGGCTGAAGGTCATGATGGATGGCGCTTCCCACAGTTGAAGCTAAGGAAGGAAGGGAGATGAAGAGAGAGTGTTGGATGGAATGAGTAGATACTGTAGGAATAGAGTATGAAGATGTAAGAGTTTTCCAATTGGTTTTGTGCATTTCAACACGTATCCGTCTACGCTCAGAAGTTTACTCAAAATTCGAAACCGACCCCAAGGCGGTACTGGGCAGTGTACTGTGCTCATAATCTGCATTATCCCATTGATATCATTTGGTACATAGGATGTGTACCCATGCCCTGCCAATGACCTAGCATTCTAGGGCTCTCATTCCTCGCCGCAAACCCTAAAGGCGTGGACCATATTCTCAGGCTGCCTGTTATGGACATAAGGGGACGCGAGTAACAGAGTTCTTGGCATGCGGGGGGATGGGTTTATAGGATGTGTGAGGTTTGTGGGGATGGTAGGGTAGTACTGTAGGTTTTGGATCGGCGGTGGTTTGCGTAGGTCGTGTAATACGGTGTTGAAAATGGACCGGTTTTGTGGAGGAATTTTGGGTGGTTTAGAATCTGGTGGGTTGCAGTTTATTTGGTGTTCTCGTGTTCAATTTGCAGTACGAATATGCATTCTTTTTGGAATATAGAGTTATCGAAGGGTTGAAAAATTGAAGCCTCACAGTTAACTTTCTGTTACTGCGAAATGTTGTTCCGAATTATCAAAATCATATATCTACACATCTGCACACCACATTCTACTCGAGTGCTACGACATCATCTCATACAAAATCACCCACTCGGCATCCAAATCCCATATACACACCCATGAAAATGAGGCTACAAAATCTGCCCAACCCCCGAAGAATTAGACGGGCTAGCCAATCATAGAAATTTTGCCGTGTTAGTGGCTGCCTGCTCATCAAGGGTGATCTCGATTGGAGACTTTCATGCGGCGGTTGTGTAGTTCTGGAAGGTTTGTTGGCAGGGGAGGCAGAGTTGCGGCGATGGGTGAGACGGGGGTGTCAGCGCCGCAGCAGGGTCAGAATGCGGTGGATGAGCTTGTTGTGATGATTTGCAGGGAAGGGGGGTTTGAGTGCCGGGCTGGCGTTGAGGAGGAGGGGTTTTATTACTGGAAATTTGTAAATTGAAGGGTGCTTGATAGGTTGTGATCAAGGTAGAGCGAGGGAGTTCCAAGACTTCCATCAAGCTGAAAACATGTCCCGTCTTCGCTTGGCCTAGTTAACTATATCGTACATGGAAATAGCAATGACGATTGGAAGAATAAGGATTTCGTCAAATATCAGATTTGTAAATCCCATACATAACAATAAATCAAAGTGGTGTTTGGCCATGCAGTGAGATTTCGTCAACTACTGTAGAAGATCGACAAGCGAGGTTTTGGGCTTACGTCCCCCTGTCACCAGCATTAAGTCAATTGGCTTGGGGCCGGCCATTTCAATTGGGCCAGAATTGAATTGTGGCTGTGGTGGACGCTGAATACGAGACTGACAGGAGAATTGTTGATTGGTTGGCGTTGTAGGCGCAGGTTGAGTGACTCTATTGTAGTGAGTCAATTCGGTGAGAGGGTGGATGAGATATATCTTTAGGAAGTTGAGGAGCAAAATGAAAACTTCAAATGTTTTTGTTAAAGACAAAATCAAAGACAAAACAATAAAACAATCCGCTCGAGATCTCCAAATGGCATCGCCCAACTCACCTCAGCACGAGCCACAAGCGAGGCATACCAACGACCGCCCGGCTTCAAGAACCCCTCCACTCAAAAACACAACCACAGAAAGCATCACCTCAATAGGATTCAAGATCTTCACATTGAAGATCCCAGAGGAGAATTCTTAGTAAGTGCCATGTTTCAAAATGTAACATCTCATACATCTAGATGTTGCCTGTACCAAGGGTCTACGTCTTCATTGCGTTTTCCGTTTAGGCATCAAGTTTGCGAAAATATGCACGCGTTGCCTACCAAAGTACCACAGGCATAAATCCACTTGTTACGTGATAGTCTTCGTGTTGAGAACGAGTGCTAGTGCAGAGACTCGTTTTCAATACGACGACTAAGTAATGTTGTGGTGGACAGGATCAGTGGCTTGTATCTTGACTCGAGATACATCCGGGCGTAGGAGGCGCTCTTGCCCTAATAAATTTAAACCCAGTCCGAGGTTTTTTTGTCTATCGAAAGCAATAGACGAAAATATGGAATTTCGTCTATTCTTTGGAACAATTGTCGTGGTCTGACGGCCACTTATATTGTCCACCGTGGATCAATCCATCTTCGCGGTAGACCATACAAGTGGTAGTCGGCACATAGTTCTCATTCGGTCTACTTAATACTAAATCATATATTTCATCTTACATTTAACAATCAAAAGCCATTTTTCTTCTTAAACCCGTCAAGCACAACTCAACACATCCAAACTTTCCTCCCATTCACATCCCTCTCCAACCACGACCACCACTGACCTCCCCCTCTAGTCCCCTCCCACCCCTCCTAACTCTCCCTCCTGAAATCTTCCGCCAAATCTACACCTACGTCCTCGTCCCTCCCACCTCACGCTGGGAAACGCGCCACAAAACATTCTGTGAGCATCGGGATCGAACGGGTGTTAGCGAGAACCCGCCTTTCACGTTGAAAATTTGGTGTCAGGATCCTGCGTGCAAGAGACATGTGTATCGGGAAGAGCAGCGGAGACATGATATGTGTGGGTGTGCGAGGGGAGAGGGGGCGGGGTTGTTGAGGGTGTGTAGGGTGGTGTATGAGGGTGCGAGGCGTGTTTTTTGGGGGGCGAGGAGGTGGGGTTTTGATGATGGGTTAGTACCTAGTGTTTCTTTTACATTTCTGGTTATGAGTTGTGCTGTGAGGTTGAAGCTCGTCTTGTCTTTGAATTTGAGAGAGTCGTCAAGGTAGCGCTAAAAGTGACGTTCGCCGTTTCTGATACGTCCGAAGGCAGCTCAAATGCTCGCCAGACCATCACTTTAGTGTATTTGCTCTTTGGATACTAGTATCTTCTTTAAATATGTCCAATCACAAAGTAGAGGATACACATTGCTAACTCATCTATTCCGTTCACAGATATCAATTCGTCAAGTTCTGCGACAAAATACAGCCGGAGTCCAGAAAGTTAATCCAAAATGTTGAGATCGTAGGTAGTGGAGCCTGGGATGGAAGTGCCTTTGACAACACCGGACCTCGGTTTACTGGCACTCTCATCTGGGATTCTTTGATGAAATTGGAGTGTCTTAAAACTTTGGTAAGCTATAAACTCAAACTTTTCCGACGCATTCAAGTTTCTCTCTCTCTGAGATTGAGACTCCTTGATCAGATGTCTATCACAGCCAGATTTATTGTTTACTAACTTCATTCAGATAATTCGTCAAGATCACATTGAAAACCACTGCAGCAGAATCGTAGCATTATGGGCTCTTCACCCCGATCTGACGATTAAAATGGCAATTAGTCTCCGGGTCATGCCCTATGATTGCACAATACCTAAACTCAAAGACGTATGGATCATCGTTCTCGCTGATTTGAAGAAAACAAAAGAATGGGGCCCGCTCCGTGATCAAGCGAGACGGTTCATGTATGACAGTATCGTGGAGAAGTGTAGGAAGGAAGTGGAAACCCAGCTTACAGAGGTATTAGAGCAGAGACCGAAGGCTGTAGATGAGAGATTGAATCCAGTAACGCTTCCGGGCGGTCTAGTGCCGGGAGTGGAGGAGGTGATGGTGTTAGGCTTGCCTAGTTGTACGAAGGAGAGGTTGAGGATGTGGAAGGAGGAGATTAGAGATGATGAGGTGCGCAAGGAGAGGGGAGAGTTGACGAGAAAGGAAGAGGAGGTGAGGGTTACGGTTGAGAGGAGGGAGCGGGGACGGAGAGTGCGGGCTGAGAGGGAGGCGGAGGACGAGCAGAAGCAGAGAAGGGCGGCGAAAGAGAGTAATAGAAGGACCGCCGAGAGCAGAGAAAAGGAAGAGGAAGAGGAGAGGAAGGCAGACAGAGAAAGGAAAGAGAGAAGGAATATCAGAAGATTAGAGGAGGTGAAGAAGAAGGAGAGGAAGAGAGTTCCTGATGGATGATCGTGATAGATTACTATATACCAGTCGAAGTCTACAATAAACAGAATTGAGAGATTTTCTACAATACCATGGGCTGGTGAACATGTGCAGCTCAGGTTTTGTTGCATATCGCAACGACGAGCCGTAAGTTGGACGCCGTCCAATCTACGGCTCGGAGTATTCGAAACAACTCCATCCATTCCGTGACATTTTGACTGCGACTTGCAACAGAACTTCAGGACGCTGTTTTGACCAATCATCCGACAGTGTCGACGATATTGCAGATTACTGCAATATGCAACAAAACTGCATATCTCCTTCGACAGCTTTTGCTATGTCGACTCATTGCGATGTGCAACAAAACCCTAAAACATGTCAACAGTTATCACAGTGTCGATTTTGCTGCGATATGCAACAAAACCTATAGTTCAGTAGTAGTCTTCGCTGGATTACTGCGATATGCAACAAGAAAATCTACCTTAGTTTCCTTAACACGCACAGAACAGACTGGTAGTCTAGCTTCTATGTCAATCCATTACGAAATGCAACAAAAAGCGAATTTCCTCAGATTACCTAGAACACCTCGCGGAGGACAAAACAAATGTCAGTTACCTACGTAGTAACCTTGGACTACACAAGTCGACTTCGAATAGAGCGTAAGAAGCTTTATTTACTCAAAATAATACACGAAATATCTCATATTGTCCTAAATTAATCCACTAAATAACTCGATTTCGTCAACTTAATCGAAGAAATACCGTGTTTTAACTGCCACTTATTTTGTCCACCACGAGAACACTTAGTCTCTATGTCGATTTACTGCGATATGCAGCGAGAAAAACACACTTACTAGAAACGTACGTAGGTATGTACACTCTGGCAATTGTGCAGATCCAATTGTGTGTGCAAAGAACGCCAAACTGGGTACGCTCGAGAGTGTTACCAAGTTGATGGAAATGCAAACTTCGCAGTGGGGCGATCATATATCGTGGCTGAGTAGGAATGAGCTGGTGGAGTATAGCAAATCCTATACAGGAATATATGAGCGGTATATAATCTATCCCAATCCGCTTCTCGTTTGATGGCCTGTATCCCTCGTTTCTTTCAAAGGTTTGTAAAAGACTGATATGCGCCATACGCCTCTGATACCATACATTTTTCATACAATTTTACACATCATAACCTCTGCTGCACAAATATATTACCTCCTCGAAGCAGCCTTTCCACCAGACCAGGCCTGCGGTTGCCACTGTTCACCCGCGCTACCCTGTGCTCTCTTCCACGGATCATCTTTCTCCTCTTTAACTTTCTTTTCCTCCATCTTCCCCTGCTCCTTCACACTATCCGGAACCTCCCCAACACTTTCTGGCTCCGTTGTATCATCAACCACACTAGTCCTCCCCTCCGATTTCCCCGTCGCCTTATCACTCTGAGCCATCCCCAGCCCCAGTGCCGGCAGCGGCTGCCCTCTGACATGCCCCGGCGCATCAAGCACACTTGCTTTATCATTCCACCGCTTATCCGCTTGCGCAGCGAGAATCTTTAGGTTTGCCTGTCTGACCACGTCTTGGCTCTGCTCAGCTATGCTGGGGGCGTCGGTACGGGTATGTCGTAGCCATTGCATCCATTGAGGACTGACTTTGACGTCGGAGGCGTGGGTTCGGCCGGGATATTGTACTATTCGACGCATGCGGTGTTGGTGAGAGTTTAGAGTGTCGCGGAATTCCCAGAAGGTGTTGCCGTGAAGGTCAAGGCCTGTTGGTATGGTTAGTTTTGAGTGTGGTGAGGTACTGAGCGGTAGAGGGGAATGGCGAGATCATTGCTGGAAACAACGACAAGAGCTCGGAAGAATGATTCGAATACAATTACTTACCAACTAAAAATCTCTTCCTCCCTGGAACCCATTTCTGGGCTTTCCATTTCAACCATAATGTCTTTATAGGACCGAATGGTTTGGAGGACATTGCGGGGTGATGTTGATGATGTTTGATGTGAGCCTCGCTCAAATATTTGTAGCCTCATATTTGGGCATGACGTTCTGACTGGATATGATTGGTTGTGCCCGGATTTCAAATACGAGCATGTGACCAAACTCGTATCGACCTGAGAACTGGTCTAGATTTTGTTACACTTCCGTATGCAATCTATTAAAGTTTGCATTCATACCTTT